CTCACCATCCCCACACACCCCTAGGAAATTTCGTGACAACACAGCTTTAGGGAAGTGGTCCTGGGCAAGATCCTCAAAGCCAACCAAGCTGGTTCAGATGCTGAGGTGAAGTGACTCAACTTGCAGAAAAGTTGCTCTCCACGGGACCACTCAGTTTGTGGTAGCATTATAAAATTAAGTCAAATAAACCTGAAGAACATAGCTTTCTACTTTGTAGAACATTTCACCAAGTGTGAAGGGTAAAGCAGACCTGTCAGTTACCAGGTTGGTGGTAATGTATAACACTGGTTTTGTCTCAGATCAGGGGTGGATCTAACTGGGATGGCTGAAGTGGTCACTGTTCTCAGCTGTTTATCCTGCTCTCTTCTACTTCTGAGGTCCCTCAGTTTACAACTTAGCTTAACAGAATAAAATATAATTGGGGCTGGTACAGACCTCAGCTGTCCTAGTTAAACTAACTGCCAGCCATGCTTCTTTCTTAGCTGACCAGTGGAAAAGAAAGACATTTGGAAGGATCTGCAAGAGTGCTGATTTTTAAGTAACAGGCATGAATAGATTTTTGCACCTAGAAGAGATATCTCAGTCAGTGGGGCAGGTAGTCCTAATTCTCATAGTCCATTTACACAACAGAGAACTTATTAAGCTCTATTTAGCCTATAAGGCTGATCTCCCTGGAGTTCCTACATTATCACTGGATAGACAAAAAAATATATGGTACAGCTCCAGTGTTTTTACACTGGGCATAAGCCATGATCTTTGGGGCATGTGGCTAGACTTGTCTTTTCTACACTATTAAAAAAGGTAAGCTGTCCAAATTGGTGGAGGCAGGTTCTGTACTTACAAAGTGTCACCAGGATGCTGACACAGTAGGAGAATGTGTTCTGTAAAGCGTGCCTTTACGTTTTCATAAGGAAATCAATGATAGCGAAAACCACCAAGACCATTTTGAGATCAATATAAAACAGCAAAGGGTAATGTACACAAAAAAGCAACTAATTTTTACTTGGATTGAATGGAGGCAAAAATCCATCCATTTCTGATTCATATGCAGTTATTATATTTACCTGATTAGCAGTTCAATATGAAAAAACCAAACCCCCCAATTATAGGTTTACGTGACAACTGTGTACTCACAAAGCAAACACATTGATTTGGTGTAAAATCAAAGTGGAAAGCAGTTGCCTGTTAGAGAAGAGTTTTAAGTGCAAAGCCAGGCCCAGTCAGAGAAAGGAATTGAATCATGCGGCTACTCTTCCAGCAACGCCAACTTCAGGTGTGAAGTGTTTGATATACAAGAAAAATGACTCATCCTGTTCAGGGCAAATCACTTTCTCTGCAGATCACACTCAGCTCAGCAGCAGCGTGGGGAAGGCTGCACAGGCACAGCGGCAGTGTTGCTACCTAATGACAATGCTGCTGTTTGGCTGCTGAGACTGAAGTAGGGAAA